CCTAAACATTGTACTATTGGTCTCATTTTTACTAAGTATACATTAACATTCGAAAATAGGGACAATTGTTGAGCAAATCTGCGACTTGATACTAACATTACTAGGCCTAGCTTTAATTGGTCATCTTAGTGTTGATTGCAGATAAATTGAAGTGTGAAGTTATGAGGATAGATTTATTTATTTAAGAACTCCTTGTCGGATACTTTCAGTTTGTGAAATTCCCCTCCCCCATCCTAAATTACCTTGGTGCTCTGATTGATTGTGTCAGGCTCTGTTTGGGAATTCACGTGACCACTTGAGAGGTAACACTTATTGTTCACAACCTGGCCACCGAAGTCTGCACATTCGTGACCCTTTAATTGCTTTGTAGAGAGCTATAGCGTTGATCAGACATCAAAATTATGCAATCAGTTAATGGTTGGGCTTTGAAATCAATAAGGACAAAATGCACGTTTATTCATTTACTGCAGGACATTCGCATTGGTAAGTCATTAAGATTCATTGCCATGGTGTTGATGATATCGCGGCCAAGAAGTGTTGTTTTGTCCACCAGCCTTGGATTATGCACTCTTCAATTGCGTGTGGGCCAGTGCAATAATAGGAATATTTTTTACTAAAACTCGTTTAATTTGTAAGAAGTACAAGGATCCTACCATGTCTTCAATTGTAATTCAGTATCCTCGTTGTTGGTGCTTTGCTTTTCGTATTTTTTTTAAATTTTTATTCATTCACCACATTTAGAGGCTAGTTCAACTGGCAACTGATTAGTTATTTGGCTTCTTTACGTAAATTGGGCGTGCTTGGATGCATCCTTCGATCGCACGCTGGTTTTTTTGCCTGCACACTCTCAATTTTAACTTTAGTACCCTCTCTATTCTGATTTACCTTGGCTTGTGCAGCAATGCTGTCAGCTGTTCCTCCTGCCCTGTATTTAGCGTGCTACATTTTGCTTGTTTCTACTGAATACTTGAAGTATTGACTTGAACCCTTTGTGCACTTGCGTTTACTTGATTTTTCTAATGGTTAGCACACATGTATTCAACACGTTATTTTGTGCTTGCATGTTGTGAAAGCAGTCTCGCTTCACTTCCTCCTCGTGACCTTCCAGCATACGTCATGGCCGGCGTGAACTCCCTCTCCAACACCCAACTAGGGCGGCGGCGGCGGCGGCGGCGGCGGCGAATAGACTACCAGGAGGCCGCTGAGTATCGTGTTGTTGAGTCTGGTGGGGCCGCCCTCA